GAAGTAACCCTCAAGCAGTCATGGTACCGGCGAACGTGGAACCTTGCCGGACAATCAGTACGACGTGTGGTACAACGTATACACAGTCAACCATCAACTTAGTGGGTGCGACGAAGTCCACGGCTTCTGCTTCGTCTGCAGGGATGTCTGCTGCAACGGAAGGAGGCTTTTTCATACAAAAGTAGCGAATTGCTGCTCTTTTTGGAGTTTATACGGATGAAAACAACAAAATCATCCTCCGCATTCACGTGCTCAGCCATAGCAGCCATTTAAAATATGGATATCGCGGGCCTTGAATATCGTGGGGATTGAGTAGATTTAAACAACTTTCAACAAAACTGCGGCCGTTTGGGAAGATCTCATATGCCCGAAAAATTACCATCAAATGTTAAAACTTTATGTTAAAGTTTTCCTCCTTCGAACCACGGTTTCAGAGAAATTTTGGGTGTGCGTCTAGCCGCCGGCGTGCTACGGCAAACACCACGACGACGTGCATCCACGTAAGTCCCCGAGTCTGATTGGTCCGAATGCCAACCAATAGGGGCTTGCCTGCCAGTCTGTGGCTAGCTCTGGACGCATGCATTAAACCAGCGTGATGTTTGGTAATTCTTAGTTGTCGGACCCCAAACATCAGGTCGAATTTCGTGACTGGTACACAGGGTCGAGGCTTTTGTGCAATTTTCACGGGTCGGGTTTGCTTTTCTCGTTCAGCAGCTTCAGTTTTCCTGAAGGGCACAAGCGATTAAACGATGTACGTTTCTTTTGGAGATACTATGTAGTATCGATCTCCACTTACTAATCGTTGGACGGTACCTTGACGACATGAGTAATATCATGCAAAACATGTAAATGTTCTTTGAATTGGGTATCAGATGCCACGTGTGTAACTATGGGAGCTCCCATGAGAATTCTTACTGTGTCCCCACCGTTCACTATTAAGGTCGTCGGTAAATAACCTATCTGCCAAACCTTGTTCAGAAGAGGTGCTAGCAGTTTTTAGGTCACCTCGGAGGCAACGATTGTATATACGAAAGTGATGGAGGATCTCCAGACGTGGTTCATAACCGACGGATTTGAGGCCGACAGGCATCATCGCAGGAGCCTGTTTAACGCGTTTAAGCGCGTACTATTTGTTAATTAATAAGGATAACGTCCTTGCGTCCTAGTTAGGCAACTTGGTTACCTTATTCAAGAATCTTCATGATGTGCGTTCCACAGAGTACTAATCTCCCCGTAAGTAATACGAAGGACGACAGTGAAGCATCAGTGCCAACACTGATGTTGCTGTCTTTGATGATGATGACAAATACGGAAGGGGCGCCAAATCACCTGGAGAGCAACAAGTGCCTCCTAGGCTACTTTTCTGTGGTTGAGTGAAAAGGAAAGATCGCGGGAGCGAGAGAAAGGATGAGCAAAGTAGTTAAGCACTTTTTGGTGTCTGGCTTCATGAACTCATGGAATCTCCGCGTCTGCCCTCGAAGTAGAAGACCATTGGCTTACTTCTTCATCGGTGGTTAAAAAATTCTTGTTTTCTCGGAGAGACCTGCTTTTGTAATTTCAATTGGCGTATATCTGGTTCATAGCAGTGTTGTATCTCTCGAAATACAGTCTAGTCCTCTGAGTTTCTGCAGTCATATTTTTGTGGATTGGCTTGGACGTCATTTCTAAAGCACGACGAATCCTGTTGGCTATCATCTGGTTCTTCCGAACGCACGCCGGGTTCCTCGGACAAACGTTGTTAATTGTCTGTATAATGGTCTTGTGAGTCTCCTGGAGTTCATCTCAATTCAAGCTGGTCAAAGGAACCAGCCTCATTGAGGGATATGCACAGCAAATTTTTGGAATATCCGTTTGGGGTTTACAGTTTCTGGTCCAGTGACACGATATCAAAAGTCAGCAAATAATAGTGTCTATAACCCAGAAGAAACTTAACCGGCGAAGCGTCTTTATTGATGGGCAGATCTAGCAGGGGTGATAGTTGAACTGTGCTAGGCGCGTTGATACACTGAATCTAAGGGCTGTGTTGAATAACATGAGATGGCAAATCGTTTGTTTAGCCTGATGTCCTGAACTCGATCCAGGAGGCCTCGGGAGAGTTAAGTTCCACTACCAGCATGGGATGCATAAATTGGTATTTGGAGGAGAGTCGTTCAGAGGTTCGTACGAGGAACTTGTCCTTCGGTGGAATTGAGGGAGAAGTGATTCCTTTCCCCAGCAAAAAATGAAATGGGTTGACTCATTGTTAGATGGAACACATCGCGAATTAAAGAACCCTCCAGAAGTTGACGCCAACCGGTCGACACACCGTACAGCGGGAGGGTATCGCGACAGTGCATGACGGAAGGGCATCTAGGTCTTGGGAGAGAAAACGAGTGGCAAAAATTGATGGGGCAGGCGTCTGAGGGTTCAAGACTGCAGACAAGGTCACAAGTCAAAGCAATCGATTAGCGAAATGTTGTGGTCGGGTAGCTGTATCAACAGGTGGATTAGCTGCATAATTTACTGATAGAAAAGCATCTTTCCGGCCTGAACGATCTGTGCGAGGGGGCATTTTTTCTCGATTTTGATTTGATTTAGATGACTACGCACCGGCGGTAGTCGCTGATATATTTGAAGCACGAATCTGTGAGGGTAAGTGGGATTTTAATCCGAAAGATCGAGAGGGAAACTTGTCCGCTAAAGCAAACATCCTGAAATCATATCCGGCTGGGACGTATCCGTCATTTTCCAACCATTGATGTGTCCTTTCTCTGGGTTGTCATTCAGAAAGACGTCAGACTTCGCTGCCTCGTCTTTTCTTGACTTCTCCAGGCTCTTTCCCACTCTCTGTGTAGTTGTTCGAAAAGAATTCTCCGAGAATCCCAGTCGACTGGCATACAATGCACACGACAAAGCCAATGAAACCTATGGAATTCGATAAGTACATCCATCTATGGCTAGTCATTTCCGGAAACCATCCTATGTTCTTCCATCGTTTGAGACAGCAAAATCAGTGTTGATACTGATGTTTTACTGCCGTACAACCACGGAGTTTATCCAATCTGTAGCTTTAGATTGAAAAGAAGACAAAAGAGGTGGTGAGGGAAAGAGATTCTGGAACCCCCATCCATGAAGGCGGACCGCATCAACAGCACATTAACACTTCGTGATCTGTTTCACATCTTTCTACGAAGTCACGTGTTTTCCACTTAGCAGTTTTCGCTACTCTGAAGGAGGTGCAGAAAACCGCTATTGATAAATCGTAATTCGGAATGTGCAGCACATGGCCGAGCCGCTGCAATCGGAAGTCCTGAATGTTTTTCGCGACTGATGTACCTGCTGCGAATCGACCACTCAGATGCGATTCCGAGGAATTCAGACGACCGACTGGGCATTCATATCACCCGCAAGGGTCACGCTGTTAGTGGTTCTTGCTCAGTCCCGGATAGTCCTTGATAGAAGGTATCCCTTTCAGCGTCGGAACTGCAGTCCGTTGGGGCATAATCCAACACTACAAACAGTCGTCCTTTTTATGTCGAGAGGTATTGAGCTTGAGCTGGATCACCAAACGGCGCAATGACGACTGTTAAGAAATCGTTTAGCTGTAATACCCTTTCGGTCCCTGGCTGCCATGCCACCCAATGGAAGCACGAGAACTTGGATACTGCCAGATTGCCCAAACCTAGACAGAAGTCAAGATGAAAAGGCCGCATACGAAACACGGGCCTTCCGGTCAATGAATTCGCGCTCTACCCACTGGAGTTCAGGCCAACTAATCGTATTCAGCTCTGCGGGCTGGGTGAGTCTCCTACATTATATCCCTCACGATTCATCGCTTCTTAATCACTAGACACACGAAAGGATGCATAACCACACTTGGATCTTGTATGCGTGCATCGGTTTTCAACAAGCATAAGATTTCAGCGAACATTGTCTGTTTGCCAGTTTGACGTAGAGGAAAGACGTTAAAAGCTCATATACGGAAAGGATCTCGCAGATTTAACAAGGTATTATTACTAGACAACGCGGCGCATGAAACACATCGGTCAGGTAACTGGCGACCAAGCGATTTAGCAACGTTTGATAGTTTGATGGGAAGAGGTTGAGGCGGGACATCGCCGGACACAGAACTGCGTAGTGAATTGACACTTCCCGGTCGCCCAGGCCAAGGAAGGGGTTCTGTTGAGGTTGAGCCTCTGACTCAAAATTCTGACCCAAGACAGAGCATCAGGACATAGAGTTTTGTTCGCGGACCCCGTTCTTAGCATCTGACTCAAAACCGATCCGCCAGGCATCGGCAGTAGGATTTTCTTTGGAGATCCTGCCCTGGGATGGTGACTTAATTATCTGACCTGCTCGGCTGCAGAATGTTGGCCTAATTCGAGGGCGCGTGGGGTGAGTCAGGACTGTCTCACTCCTAATGCGACAGCGTACAGCAGGTGCCTTTTGGGCAGCAGCAGACTCTGGTTTTGAAAGTATTTTGACCGTACTGAATAACGCGCCAGCGGTCACGGTCAATCGTTTGGCGACGGCTGGAGTATAAGGTCTTTAGACGCGAACTTTCCTTACCCGTCCTTCCTCGAGTGAATGCACCATGGCTGCTTCCATGCATATGGACATGCTGTTCGCCTGGGGATATTATCTTACTGCTTTGGCACATCTCTCGCAGAGGACAATACGACTTTACCCCCAGAACGCCTCGTAGCACGATTACTGCTCTTGTTCTAACTGCTCTCGTGTGGCCTTCCTAGCATAGTTACACCTTGTGGAACGAAGTTGCAGCCAGTGTAGTCGGCGGGATCATTGCAGCACTCAAGGTTAACTACTACGTCAAGGTGGCAACTTTAGGTCGGGCAGAGCGTTCCTACAACTGAAGCGTATACCACGGTTGAAAAAATAAACCAACCCTAGGACTAAGATTCGAACCTACCAGTTTACTGTACGACCTACTTTACTTTGTGCTTGCGCCTAGGCAATGCATATCCAGAACACGTAAGGTGGAGATCTCCACTGATTGGCGTTTGAAAATATTAGCAGGATGTACCCATTAGACTACATGCCGAACGAAATGTTCTGTTTTCAAATCAGCTCGGGCAATTAATCCAACGACGCTCGATTTTATGGCCCGAGACATGTTCTTCACCATCCATATACATGCTTTGTGAAGGCTGTTTTTGTTCCAAATTCGTGCCCAGAATCGCGTTGACTTTGCATCGGTCCTGGATCACTGCTGACAAGTCTGATGTTGAACATCGGGGTCTCTACGGCCCGTCACTGGAACCTACATTGGAGTGATGTCTGCTGGAGCTTTACTACTGACCATCGTGCATTGTCAGCTGTTACAAACACCCAGTATGCCAGATCATTCTCATGCAGATGGTTGATGTGAAGTAAGCTAAATGAGACTTCGTGAAGTGGCCTAAATTTTAGGGGCCAATTACCTTAACTGTTATAACACCATACTTGAAAGACCAAGAGACTGTTTATCAGACCTGTGCCCACCGACCAGCGTAAAGGCGAGACTTCGCGCATGTGTAGCTATTTTCCAGCACAGCTCAATGCATTTCCGATGTACAGCAGCCGCCGCACAACGATAGGGTCCAGTTTTTTCTCAATGGGCAAAGTTTCTCGGCTTGCTAGTGGGGCATTCTTGATAAATAGTGGTATGATAATGACGTTCTGTTTGGTCACAAATTTGGCTCTTGCAATTCGCTAAAACTTTAATTAGTCTCCCTTCAACCAGGAATGTTCATGTGGCTGTCCAGTGTATTCACGTTTTAAATTCTACCGTACCCTGTATCTAATATGCAGGGTTCTCCTTGGAGGACACTTTCGCACCTGTCAAGTGGCAGAATCATTCCGGGTAGCACATTGAGTCCATTAACGGAGATCTCGTATCATTTGACAACCTTTCAACAGAACATCTTTTTGTAACAGGAGTACCGTCATCACTTCTCAGTCCATTGATGGAGCTTTTTCTGCTTTCATCCCTGGCCGCTGCATCGTTGACATTAATATCGATTGCACGTCTATAATCCTCCACGCTGCAAATACGTTCTGTTTTTCGTTAATCATACAACTACCAACCGTACTTGCATCGTTTTTAGTGCATGGAGTCTCATGTGTCTGATTCCGATAAGAACTGGCTATACTATTTGGTGCGACCAACGCAACTACTGGTGGATGTGAAGTCATTATCGGTTGCTCAACAGCTCTCTCTTTTGAAGCAGTTGTTGTCACAAGCTGAAGTCGCGGACCGGCGTATTTCTGGCTGCACCCGAAGTGATGGACTGTGTGAAACTGATGGCGGACCAGATAGGCCGCATAGCAGTACTCTGCTGTTCGGTACCGATGGCGAACCCAATACACCCTATAGAAAATCAAAGATACTGAATGCGCTGTCCATGCAGATCGCCGCCGGATTAAAGTTTAATCTGAATTTGTTCAGTGTAACCTATGAAATCCCAGTCCGTCTTCTCGCTCGGTTGTACCGAATCCTGGTCACTACGACAGCTAAGAATTCCCCCGTACTTCAACCTTTGTTCGACCATGCAGAAGATAAAGAGAATATCTTCGTTGTGAATCCGTACGCTCGCTTCACATGGAACAAACTCCACCCGACTACAATTTATGCCTTGGTTTCGTATCATATCTGGTGTCTTCAGGTTCGTTATCATGCATAATAATCGCAGTTTGCCATCTAGGTGTCGCTGATATCAAGCATGCTTCCCCAGCCATTCAGAAATCTCACACCAATTGTGGCTGGTTTGACTGAAATACCCGACCTTGCTTTCTTCACCGACAACCGTGTTGAAGTTGGAGTTATACTAGGACGATCAGAGGAATCCGTATCACAGCTAAGTCAGGTTCTCAGTCAACTGGATTTGCTGAAATTCGCTCGACCCCATTCATCGGCTTTTCCTTTGGTTGGTCCGGGCTTACCTCCAGCACTGGGGGCCCCAGCCTACATGGATGTGGACGATGCAACCAAACACGAAAGTGATCAAGTGAACTCAAACATTTCAATTCGAGATGCAGAGGTATTATCGACCGAGTTTATTTCCTGCTCGTTGAACTTTGTTTTGGGCCGTTACGCATTCCAGAAGCAACATTTCGAGGAAGCTGAAGAGAAATTCGGTGTAGCACTATCAACCATGCTCAAGGCGCAGGTATGCATTCTTTGCTGTCTTTCACAACGGCACTCCTATTTTGTTCTGTATCATTGTGCAGAAATGCGCAAGTGGTATAAACCTTGGTCCAATTCATTTTGTCAGTTTATATGGTCACTAAGTGCAAATTGTGGCAACGTAAAAATTCTTGCTTGGGTGCGTAAGAACAGGACAACTTCTATCTAAATTTTATTGACGTATAGATGTGTTATCCGTTTCAGTACCCTTCATGGGTGAGACTGACCATTAAGGGTTTTTGAGGCCTCTGATTCAGTTCGTGTAACATCTTACCTCAAGCTGAATTTTTTATCATAAGTACTGGATGCAGTCTGGAATTTGGTATTCAAACTTCATTGTATCTTTTCGTTCAGAGAGATACTTTCCTAGAGGGGTACCGAAGAGTGGTTGCCATAGGACAGTTAGGGTTCCATATTCAATAACTGTTAGTATAAAGAGCCAATAGACACGATCTTTTAGGTTTACGACATCGTTCCCTCGTTTTAACTCACGCCTTGCCCAATGGTTGTCCAGTGTATCTCAACTGAGAGGGCCCCCAATCTACTCCATCAGGGACTTGAAATGCTCCTTGTCTACAAATACTATCTCTTATTTCCAAGTGTGTGGCTTTCGGTTCCTGGTTAACATGTATTTGATTCGTCAGTTTTGTCAGATTTTATGGGTGATCTACCCTTGGTTGTGTGTAATCAAGATCAAGTATGATTCCCGTAAATGTGCTACCTCCCACAGAACAGACTGAGTAATGTAACACTAGTATGTGTGGTCTGTTGGGTTCCAAGTCAGTTGAAAACAGCTGCGGTAATCCTATTTCTTAGACTTTGCAATGCATTTAGAGCGTCGCACATCCGTTTATGCTGCTCTTTGCTGCCAGTAAAAGAAGTATAAAGGCCATTCTTCATCTTCCATATACCCACTGAACTTCCTTCTCACGCCCACAGACTTATCAGCACACTCGTCGCTAGCAGTATTTTCCTTTTTGACCGATTCTTGGATTAGCTTGTGGCACTGAATTATTACTTTGCTGTTATTACTCGATGCCTAGCTCCTTAGGACCGGTGGCTGCGTTCTGTTGGGAGCCTTCAGGTGGCTATCATCTTCTTGATGCCATGGAACAGTCAAGTGGATCAAGTGATTGGTACCAAAGGCTAAAAAAACTGCTGGTGACTTACTTCCGATCACAATGTGCGTACCTGGGCAGCTGGAACAAAGGTGTCCACTTCTTAAAAGCGTCAAACAACCATGTATAGCCTATTATTATTTGGTACCACAGGACCCCCATGGGGTAGCTTCATACAACAACACGCAAGTGATAAAAACGTTTTATCCGCGCTAGGAAAAAGCTCCGGCTTTGCTTGCTTCGGAAAGTTATCCACTTAAATTCCGAAGAGTTAAATGTCTGCTTCTACTCTTCTTATATGTTTTATGCCACTTTCGACGTCTCAGTTTATGCAAATAGAATAGTGAAATTTGGTTGTGAAAAGTCTGGAAAACAGTTGGTGGACTTTTCCGAAACGTTAACTTCTCGACTGGTTGCAAGCGTTTTCAAATGATGAGATGTGTGAATCGAGGGAGCAAACTTTCCTCATTTTGAAGAAATTCTTCATATAAGTGATGTTATGAATCTTGACTAAGCTGTCCATTGAGGCCTGGGCTGATGAAAGCCCTGGTGGTTTTTCCGGCTTTCTGACTACATGACCTGTATCTCTAAGTCATAAGTAAATGCAGTACTTACGGTCAATTTTGTGCCCAGTCTATCACCTTTGAATGTCATGAACAACCGTCACGTTCATGTGAACTGATTGCGTCCGTAGCGGTGTGTGCGACTCCGGAGTGGATGACTCTGTCAAAATACCGATTATTTCCCTATTCATATGTGGAAGAATTTACGTAGTTTTGTCTCATATCTGTTGAGTATAATCACATCGCCAGACTGTGGGTTAATTTTGGATGTCTAAACATTAAGCATCAGCAAAAGTGTTACCTTTGGCCTCGTATGACAATAGCCGCCTTTGTCTTCTGCTGAAGTGATCGGCTGTTGCAATTGCTGGTGAAACTGTTTCCCGTCTTTTTGACTTTCACGACGGACTCATCGAAATTTAACTCCGGTGAACTTTTCAGTGGCTAAATTGCCAGTGTTTTCAGCGCACCAACAATGGATTTTTGCTTTTAAGCGTTGTTTATTGAACTACATACTGGTGAAATGTTTTTCGTGACCAATGGGTCGCCCATCATTGTTCTTTCAGTGGTACCAGTAGGTGAACAAAGAAACAACAGTCAAGTAATTTTGACGATCATAAGGACAACATGATCGACCACTGAATTCGACCACTCTGACATCTGCATGCTCATGTTACTTCGGTCGAATTGATTTATTGATTGTTTTACATTTGGCTGCTGAGGTCCTGACGGGATCAGCCGTGGTTTCGGTTCGTATGGCAAAAGTATTTGTTCAACTTCTTAAATCTCATTTTTTTCCCGCGCAGCTTACCTATACGGAGGAAGTGGGTGTGACACCGAGTTTACTGGAAGTATACCTCAAAGCTTGTCAGTCTACAAAAGTTGACCGTCCTCTCCCCGTTGCATTAGCTGCTGGTGCATACCCATCCCACTTTGTTCAATCATTTTGTGTCCGATTTGAAAGCAGTGTCTTAGAGCAAAAGGAAACAGGTGAATCATTTTGGCGAGAATCGCTTAGTCGTTCTGGATTGGTGGAATCTAGCTACCTGAAGCTAATTACACCGGAAGATATTTCTGTTGAAGACCACCTTGTGCAAGTTCTGATGGAGGATGTGCATTCAGAAGACAAAGGGTCAAAACAGCTGATCGTGCCGATCGACCAAAGCTTAAGGGAGCGACTGGCACAATTATGTTCTTTATACACGGTCTCCTGGTCGAGCCGCCCAGTGCCCAGTACACTTCGCCCGACAAAGCTACCAAAATTGGAGAGGACGCTGGTTACTGACGAAGCGGGGAAGTTTGAATCGTGCCAACAATTATTCACCAAGGTTAGTTGGCATCCGATGGATCACGACGGGTGATACTGTCGGCTTTGCGGTTTACCCCTGAGTTTCTTTACATTACAGCCTTGTTTTAGAGGCGGCATTATGACAGTTATCTCACTATAAAAAGGTGCTTAGTTATTTCAGCCTTAACGGATCTTAGAGGAGTGTCGTTGCAGATCAGCTGCGGGTCTATGGAGTTCAGACACAATAATTTGATGGCGTGCAACATCGCCTCCTCAGACCTAGAATTAGCATTTGACCCTATCAATCACATGGATTTGTGGCAATATCTCTGGTCCAATTATGCGAATCAGCTCTACGAATTACTTTCATTTGCTGGATTTTAACAGTCATAGGTGCGAGAGTATTTTGAGTGGATGTACCTACGTAGGCAAGATAGTGTTTATTAAGGTCTCATTTCGGCATATTCCTTGTCAAACTTGATAGTCAGAATAACATGTGCGTGACCTTGAATGTATTTCACGGAAAGGCCCCGAGGGTGTCAAGCGTAACGACAAAATCGCACTTTTTAATTTAGAGTCCATTCAGATACAAAACACAGTTAGCTCACGGTGCCTTCAAACCGTTGAGTACCGGGTTTGTTGGATGTGGCATTAAATTTCTTATCATAACCCCTTGGCACTAGAAATGGCCAATAATTTGGTTTATCTGTGTACTTATGTTGCCAGACGCGTTCGTTAGTGTCGCTGTAGCACGTTCTATTTCCATGTGACCTAATCAACTTCGGCAGCGAGAATAATGACTTATTCAATACGGGTAGCGTATACAACGATTTATTGAGTATAGCGCTGCTTTTTGGTTGTCAAGCCTGGTCACTGCGCCTGAACCACTGCATACGCTTCTTTGGAGCATACTGTCTATTATGCTGAGCAATTTGCAGGGTGGAGACGTCGACTGGTTAAATCCGCCGCGTTCGCAACGGCTGCTTCTCTCAATCCGAACATTTAGGCGGGACACCAATGGTTACCAGCATTGACAATTTGGAGAAATCGAGTCGGCCCAAGTAAGGCAGATTGGACGCCAATAGACTAATTCGATTACTGTTCCAAGTGCGTGGCTATCGTCCATAATAATTCTTTCTCTCTCTTTGGTGAGCTAAAATTCAGCGTCTTGTACCAGCGTAGTCATGAAAACCGGTAGTTAGACGAAAAACTGGAACTAAACTGAATGACTTCGGGTGACTGATTACTTCACCCACTGTTGCATTTTGAAAGTTCCAGAGGTTGAATGATGGATGAGCGGGTAACGATGTAGGTATTCGTTTTCTGGGATAGCGGTAATTGTCACGGCTACCAAATCGGTGAAACTACCCAACCAGCATCACTCTTGTAACCGATCAGTTGCTCGTAACCCTTATCCCACTCCCCGTCGATTTCATTATTATTACGTTTGGATATTCTTCCTTGGTTTTATACGCCATAAAAGACCTCATGTTATTGCATCCCAAGATACATCATACGTTTACTCTATTCATTGTTGAACTGAAAGCTCCCTCGCTCTTCAGGTCGTTCCACGTGTGTTCTGCCTCTAATATAACGTTCATCGCTTATCTGTAGCACCCCTTCGGTGCATAGCTGCTGTGCCATACACGAGTGCTGTGATACCATCAGGTTTCCCAAGCTTTTGACAGGAGCAGTCGATGGCAAAGGTCGGGTCCGAGTCACAGACCTTCCGGTCAGTAAGTTCGTGACTAAACCACTGAGTTATCTGTAGCTCAAAACATACTGAAACAGCATCGCTTGGAGTGTGTCCATAGCTTCTACCATGAGGTGACTGCAGTTATATTCACACTCGAATCCTATTTAAACGTCGCTCTGCACAGTGACAACACCTGCGTGCATCGATAATAGCTTTGGTTGTTTCTGACGGAATGTTCCGTCTTTTGCGTTTCATAACCTCAGAATGCATCCTTTTTCAGGTTCTTGTATGCAACACTGTTGAGCGTCTAGTGTCCGGCTTTTTCACCGCTCCCGCTCAACTTGCGATTCTCCTATTTACGACACCTACAACGTCTTCGCTATCGAACGGTCACAATGACGGGCACTCGCTTCCTCAAATCGACCCTCAATTGGGACGTGACTTTTTGTTAGATTGTCTGGCCTGCTTCTTGCGGGTTGCTATAAACAGATCTACCTCCTGGGCTAGGCGTCAGTGCGAATTTGTATATCAGTTCATCACCTACTTGGTCCAGCAAGGAATTAACTGGCTAGGTGGCGGCTTGACAACGCAGGCACGTGAATCTGCTCTATCCACAATGCAATCCAATTTCACTGGTTTCTTAACTGCGCTGGTTTCACATTGTCTAGTGAGTGTCGCGTTATTGCGTTATTGTGTATGGTTTTGCCTTCTTAGCCGATTTTCATCGTGCCATCACTCCTTTCAGTTACCGCATTTGCTGTTAGGAAACTCATCTTTTTTCTCGCTATACGATGGAAGTAACCTCCGTCGCGAGGTAACCAGAATTCTACTTTCTCTCCACGCGCACTGCAGAGAGATTCTTTCGCAGTGCACTGAGTCTGTGTAAGCCTTGTTTTTTGTTTTCATTTTCCATGTGATGTATGCCTCACCCACAGAGCGGTAATGAAACGTTTGTGGAGACGGATTGTGGTTCTAGCTAACGTTTCTAGGAAGGATAATTTTACGATGATTTTTAAGCATCCTCACTGAGGATGCTTCCTCATTGAGGAAGCGTGCATCGACTGCTGCACAGTCCAGTCACCGAAATGTATTTACTTTGGCACCTCAGGAACCGTTCTGTCAGTTTGAATGGCAACGTACCTTAATGTGGACAAACAGTGTGGAATAGACGTATTTCCACAAGTGTTATTATCCATAGTTATCCAACAGTATTTTCCTTTAACCGTGTTTCAAGCAAAAGCAGTTTGTGGTACCCTAACTAAAGAGCAAAGAAAAACCCATAGCTACCAAAGTTTTGTTTCTGTGAGAATGTTGAGCGAGTCGAGATAATGAAAACGTCCGTTTGGTAGCTGATGTGCTCATGTATTAAAGTCGCACTTTTAAGCAATGATAGTCGCTTAAATATCCAGTGTATGGTTTTCTTCGGGAGTACGCCTGTCTGTTAGTTCCAAAAAGTATAAAATAGGCAATAGGCTGCCGATCTGTTTTAACCAAGTGCTACATAATGTCATGTCACGGGTGCCACTTCGATGTATTGAATATCGCTCCAACTGAAACTGAGGCCGCTTTTGTGCACCATATTCAGCTGGTGAATAGCATAATCGAGCGATCCAGTCGGGTTTATCAACAACAGCACCTTAATTAGCAAATGAATGTTTAGCTCCAACTACTTCCAATTCGGTGTCCAAGTATGGAATGAGATTGATGGAAGCGTGGGAACTTCGTCTATCTGACGGAACTTAGAAGGGAAGAAGCCGATACTGGATGGCCGATATATATGTATATAAATATATTCACTAACCCTATACGGTAAACTTGCTAAATGCAACCACCCATCATACTGAATTGTTCCAGGACCGTCGGCTGGTATCCTTTCACCGGCCACTTAAGCTTGCTGGCTGGTGAAAACAAGCAACTATTGTATTCACACGTATCTGGGTTGGCTTTTGAAGCAAGGTCATTCAACAGCTTAACGATCTGACACACTACATGCACATTGTGAATCGCTGAACATGGTACAAAGTTTGAATACCTGTCTGCAACTACCTTCGTTTTACTTGATAATAATGCGTCGCCCTAATTCTTGCACTGTCTTGTTGATCTTGGTATACTTAGTTCTCTCCTAGTTACATTTTCTTAGCGGTGATCAGTTTTCTTAGCCTCCAGCTGGGCCAGCAACACCAAGTGATCAACCCGGTAATAAGTACACTCTCGCCATTCTGAGGGTGACCAGAAATATGGTGATTTCTATAGAAAAGTATCAGTCAGATTAGTTAACGTTTGTTTGATGTCTTCAAGTGGCCTTTTTAGTGAGGGAAGCTTTACTCCGGAGAGACCTATAAAACCGTTATTTCTATGGATTTGCTACATAAATAGACTTTCATGGCTCCCATCTTTTTCCCACCAAGTTCACCCTTTTACCAACTGACTGCCGAGAATTCGTACAGTCCCTAGCGCGAAGTCCCTCCTTCATGTTCGACGACTCCACGAAAGATTCAGTCCGACGATTGGGTGTCGATACAAATCTCTGGGGGCTGAATGGTCTGGCCCGAGCGTTGGAATGTCGCCCTTCGGGATCATCTGAACCCGGCGAGAGGCGAGACGGCAAATGGACAAGCAATGATCCTCCTGACAGTCATTTCAAATCCACGCTAGACGTTGATATGCGTAATCCGAATACTTCAGCCTTTACCAACCCACCCTCTGCTACTAACCGGATATCTTCTGACCGGGAACGGGACATATTTTGCGATTCCACACCCAGCATGCATAGTTCCTTTGAAGTCAGTATGCTTCTAGCTAGTTACTCGCCAAACGATGTTAACACAAATGTACGGCGACTCCTAAAATCAATGCCCGCTTGGGCTATTTTGGAACTCAACGCTGCTTGGCTACCAGCACTTCGGCAGCTGATTGGTTTGGAACTGTTTTCCGGCCCTTCTTTCACCGGAATATTGGTAAGTTCTATATCTTCAACTGTTACCTGATTGGTAGAATAAATCAGATTTCAACATAATTGACCAATACTGAGCACCATCTCAAAGGTGCAGTAAGTGACCTTGTTTGCTTTGTACTCTCGTTCCCGAAAGGCGTGCACCCCACTGTCTTTTCGCGACCTATTTACCTCGGAAAATTGCCAATGGACATTTGGCTGGGGTTACATCCTAAGGTGTACCCCTTCCTGGCCTGCGCATTTACCATCGTTGAATAACTATATTTCTTGTGTCGCCTGCTATCCAGATCCAACCGCAGAGATGCAGTGAACCTCCTCGACAAAAAAAGCAAAGCTTTTTTTTTAAAATTAGGAATTGTCTGTTCTACAGATTTCCGCGAATAAACGGGATAACCTCACGACAAAGATCAGTCTGATGTGCTGACATGTTTTTGTCGGTCCCGACAAGTTCAAATTCACGATCATCATTCTTATGAAACAGAGAGGGCCATTGGTGTTCTCCTTACCTTCACAACTATCAACCATACTTTTTCTCCCGAGAAGCCTCAGTGGTTGAAGCGCGAACCTACTGACCGGAAGGTCCGTTGTTCAGACCCGACCCCGGCATCTCGATTGCCCCTGTCCAAGCTTGAGCAATCTGGTAGTACCTCATCCCTCGTGCTTCCTTCACGTGAGACGGCACCTAGACACTACAGCTGAACGATTACTATACTACTGCGACGGTGCAATGGAGTTTCAGATGGTCTTTCTTTCGAGGTGGCTTCGCAATGTAGTACCCCATCTCTATCACTGGATAAATTTCTGAGAATAAAAAGAAGCTTCGCTTAATTCGAGGAGGGAGGATTCGTAAACTGGACAACCGCAATATCATAGTTTTTTCCCTTGGGCAAACACCAGCCTTGATGGACCTATCGTATTCTAATGGTCTCCCCATTCCTCACTCTAGACGAGTGATGTGTGGGTATGTCCACCCGAGGTTATTAAAATATCTCCAACCTGTTTCAAACAATGGGTTTCGATTGTTAATGGCTTTCTCTGTGAACCTTACAGTTTTGTTCTAAAGTTTCCTCAGCAATCAGGGTGACATCAGTGCGTCGTAGTACAGACTACCGTGAAAGGCGAGTTCTCGAGAACAAAACGGGGCTTCGCTGTAGCTCAGGATGTCATAAACATACCTTCACTTTGAGGAAGTTCATTTAGCAGTGCCACTCCTTCAGGCGGCTTCCATTTGTCATTTCCGTTGGTCTGGAGGCTACTGTTTACTTTGTAGAGCATAATCGACGATATCTTTTCTCTTATGAGGACCACCACTTCTGCGAGTTGATATGGGTCTATAGTGAGCTTTCGTCACGTCCAGTGGTTAATACAGGATCGTCGCCTATCATACTCTTCAGTTTTTATTGGCATGTTATTTGAAACTTTTGTCTCTTCCTGAAACCTCTACCTTGAAAATGCTCCCAGACCTTCATCCACGAATATCAAGTACAAGGACGCTAGTGCTACCTCCCACTCTCTCTCTATTTGATTTCGATCATTTAGAAATGCAAATGGCCTTCTGAAAAATGAATTCTTCCAAATAGAGTAGCTAGTCTATAGGTTATACCAGTTTGGTCGTGCAGTCCGCATGTCGCAGAACCGTCTTCAGTGGTGAATTCGCTTCAAATCATGGTTTTATGGCAGTGAAGCATCGGTGTTGGACACTGATGTCATGCCGTCTATGGTGATGATGATGATGAATTGGTTTTATTTTGGTGTGGACTTCGGAAAATGCGACACTCTCTGATTCAGGAGTGCTTGGGGTGGCTCAGGTGTGAGGATACGAACATACTTACTGGATAGTCCGTGGTTCGAATCCAGCTCCTGTATCTCGACTGCTCCTATTTAGGCTTCGCAAACTTCTCAGTATCTCATGCTCTGTGCTCTTTCCGGCAGTATAGCAGCTATGCACCGAAATGCTGTCAGGGCTGAGCGATTATTTTTTGTTTCTTCATCGGTTTATGTACTGGGCCTTGAGTAACAAGCAGTTGTACTTCTGGTAACGATGCTTAACAAACATCGGAGACAGAACCTTGAGTATCAGCCTTATCCGGTTAATTGGTATCCACTCTCGGAGTACGAGTGACCGCAAGTTCGTAAGCTGGACCCCATCTGGGATCGTGTGGACTATTTATAAACCCGCTGCGAACCGGACGAAATAAGACCTGAATTTGACCGGAAGAACTCACGATGAACTACTGGCGTTTGAAGAAGTTTTGATACCCAGATTTGGCAGCTATATTGGGTTTCTTAGGTGAGAACATAAGATGTGCATACAGTCTTGTAAATCTATTCAATTTCCGTTGACGTATGAAATGGGTGGTCACAGTCACCGTCGCCCACATCTATACCGCTTATGGTTGTGTTGTCAAGATGCCATTAACCTACATGGTTATTACGTTTGTGAACAGCTCAGTGTTAGTGAAAGTACTTAACCCTTGGTTAGGCGACGTCAGTAGCCCTCCGTTCTTATCCAAGTGAAAGACATCAACTTGCAGCAATGCCTTCTGTCCATGTAGGTCGCGCGAACTACCAGTCGATTGATTTTCGCAACTTAGCTTCTCACTGGCTAGTAGGCATCAGCTCGGTAGTGTGGAAAGGACAATGCCATTTTATGATTCTTTCGTTAGGTAAAGATGTCTTCTTACGCCTTGTATGCGTTTCAGAGAAAATAGCTCGCGCTCAACGGTCCCTAAGTGTCCATTGGCACGGTTTGGATAAACATTGGTATTCGGAAGCTCTAGCGTGTTGAATATTGGACCACACCACGTGTTGGTTATACTTTGAAAATTCGAGATTCATCCCTAAGATTTCATCTGAAAGGTGTTTACAGTTTCGGTTTTACGGAGTTTGGTACGGCGGTTGAGCTGTTTATTTTACTATCTGTCATGCAGGACGAGAATGTCATTGACATCTTATTGACACATGAACCACATGTAGCCACCTTATTGGTTGCTATGGTTCAGCTTGCCATGGCTTCAGTTGCTCTGCAGTTGCAAACGACGACCGAGTTGGCGCATGCTCGTTCCTTGCTGCTGGCTGCTATGAATGGACTTGCCAGTCTCACAGCTGTCTATTGCACTCCGTGTCATCTGGGCCGCCTCACCGACGCATTCCAATGGCTACGTGCTGCAGTTCAACACGAGCTTTTTCTCAGTGAACTACTGGTGAGCAATAGTTAATCATGCTTCTAATGTAACCGAACCCGCAGCAGTTGCTATTATCAAGGCGAAGATGCATGGTTTTTATGCAACTACCGTTAGACATGACTCTCTTTGTACGAACTACTTCGCTCGAATATTTTTGGTTTTAAGTTGCTCTACAGGTATAGTAATTTTACCGGCAAGCGGCGGATCGGCGCACACTCATTAGTACTCACAAGTAGAATTGATCTGCTGGTTGCCATTTTGCACGTTTTCTGTAGTCCGTTGATGCTTCGGCCTATGTTTCCCCGACTGTGTGTAAGAGCTCACGTTTTTGTCCTTTTGGGTTTGGTACAACCTGCCTCTCTTGTAAAGCGATTCGGACGAGCCTTGAGCTTCGGGCTTACAGCAGTGACGCCCGACCGACCATCTTTTTGACCTCCTGTAATCTCCGAAAGTAATATATGGATAATGTCTAGTTTGTCAATAGGTTAACAGCGGATGAACTTAAATTGATTGACTGTAGCATCCATACACGTTATGTTTGCCGCCTTTCACTCCTCTCCCAATAGATCAGTTAGTCGTATATCCAGACTTCCCTGTTGACATTAACTTGCAGTATAAACAAAACCCTTTATTTCGTTCTCGTTTTCTTCACACAGGAAGTATTTTTAGCACCAGCTCATACGACCTCCGTTCCTAACCGAGACGTACAGGAGGGGAACGCATCCAGTCAAAATCAGTCAATAAGGCGTTATCATTGGAGTGATCTATCTCGCAGAGCCAAAGTTTGTCTATACCATGCAGCCGGTTTACACCAAAATGCCGCAGAATTGGAGAATAAGATGTCTGCCACTACTCTGTTCGCCGTCTCTCCTCCTTTAGTTATCTCCGCTGCCTGTTTTCTATTAATGAATCATGTAAGTAGTGGTCAATCTTGAATTTCATAGTTCTTGGACATCCTGGCAGTGTCATGAAATTTACTTGTGGCTGTGTGGGAGTGATACCCACGCTGTTATTTGCTCAGACCGCAGCTGTTTAAGCCTTTGGAAGCTTAGTCATATCTATGACTGGATTCAATTGTTATTTCTTTTTTCCTGTGTTTTGCGATGGTCCATAACATATCACTTCATGCGCCCTTTGTGACAGGCTATTTTGTTACATTCAAATGATTTCTGCGCACGGGAGCGCTGTAAGTGCTCCCAGGATAACCTGGTTGCTTCAAGGGTTTAATGGAAACCCGGTTATTCGTAAGCAGGTTCCCGTAACAAGATCGCTAGGGTGAAAAAGGGGCTATCCTTTCTTATACATTAATAGGAAAAATTTTATGTCAGCAACGTATGTGAACAAAATGGTAAGTCAAATCGACTTTCAATGAACCAGTCAAATCCCTGATTACTTCCTTTCCGAACTGAGTACGGCGGACATGGAAAAGGCTGCTTACTACAAATTGTCGACTCAACTTAAATGGTCAGTCAGCTTGCTTTTAAGTTGAATCAGTCCAACGTCCCAACCACTAAGGCTTATCTTGTTAATGGAGCCGAAGCCACCATAACCAGATTTTGTTATTTTTTGAAAAAGGTAGCCAATGATGGTCAAAACTGAGGATTTTCAGGTACGCAGTTAACCGTTGGTTTGTGCAGGGCTGAACAGTTTGGCTACAAACGTTATATCAACAATCGAGGTGACATTTTCAGTTGGTTGACGCTGGAAGTGCCACTCTCAACGGTATACATTCCAAGTTCATATCAAGGATAACACTGATCGAAACGGAAGATGCGGACTCTTCCTGACGAGCGCCACTAGTTGTGGGTAAACTTTTCAACACTTTCTTACAAACTCGTACAAATTTTAAGAGCACTGCTCTCTGTCTAAGTGTATGTAGGAGTAGTTATCACATCCATATATTTGAAACCTGGTTGAAGTCGAAGAAGAAAGGATTGTTGTCGTCGGTATGCATGACGTTGCTCAAACATTTGACGTAATATGAATATGTAATCAACTCAGTCCCGACTCAGTTCCAATTGATGCTCTTGGATGTGGGTGTCGCACTGCCAACTTCTGCGTTACTGCAGAAGTGAGGCGCATACCTCATGGTTAGGGTAATTGCTTCGGACACCCTTTTGGATGAAGAAGCAATGAGCGAGTCGCCATCATCTCCAAATGGTGATGTTGGAATCTCATTTAGCCCAGCAGTCTGGTGACCTTGCAACGCAGAAAGGTAACCTAGGGGAGGATCTAGCCTGACCAACGACGGTCCAAAGTAATGACAGTTACAGGCGTGAAAGGTCCACTAAACTGTTGTTAGGAATGTTCTGCACAGTAGTTTAAGCGGTGGCTCTTATAATACATTCGGTTGTCCACAATATCTTTGATTAACTCAGTACCAGGCGGTCTCCAGGGTTCAGTTTCACAAAGTAGCTGGAACTGCTTCTGCGCATTCCCGACTGCACTGGTGTGCTGTGGTTCCTGATCCCAGCACGCTTCTCTGGTCATGCACAGTTTCTTTTAAGTTGGAGCTTAACTGTCCACCTGAATCATTCTCTTAGTCCTAGTAAATGCATCTTCCCCTGTCAAGGAGTGGCCGGATCCATTCTGAGATCCGAAATGACTCTAGTAGAGTGGTCGTGTATGTCTGGTTTCAATAGCTGTCGTCGTATTTCGAGAAGGCTTGTAGAGTATTGCTTGGTAAGCTTTGGTATGGCTCACAAAATCCCTCTGCTAATAGTCGAGGAGTTTATTTATTGGGTTTCCTGGGGAAATTTAATCAATACTCACGCTGACTAACAGCATGATCTGAATCAATAACTTAAAGGAACGGCAATTCATTCACAGTCGTTTTGAGCGATGGGCCGAACACTTCGAAGAAAAGAACAACACTTCGAAAAAAATATTTATCGCGATATATCGAATATCGTAGCGACTGAAACATGAGGCGGCCTGGTTCAGCACATTCAGTTGCCTGGAAGCATCGAAACCGAGAGATTCAGCTGGGTTCCAGGTGGGTCTCTCCAAAAACCAAATTAGTTTGCGAATGAGTGTATTTCGCTAACTTCGAAGAACGGTTCAGCTGGTGTTTTTCAACAAAACCTAGGGAGCCTGAATGGAACTCGGCAGCAGCCGGCCGTCAACGACAGAAATCCAGCGTGTGATATCAATTCGTCGCGACCAGGTGCCTGATCCTGATAGTCTGCACCCCATATTCTTAAAGAAAGGTGGTCGGGTCCTGGTCAGCAGCCTAACGATCATACGGCAGAAGATTTAGAATTAAGACAGAGTGCCAGTGGAATGTAGCACCTCGACCGTCATCCAACTCTTAAAAAGGGGCGCAGGAACGTCATAGAGGAGTCATCGTGCCATCATTCTGCTGGCTGTGACATTCGAGGCGCTCTCTAGCATTATTTCACACTGGTTTGTCGATTATCGGGAGAGACAGATTTGTGAGAATTCAGATGAGTTCCACCCTGGCTGAGGATGAATCTTCCATATCGTTACCTTGAGACGTGCTCTTCGACGGCGCCACTCGTTTTAACGTCCCACTTTGTAAACCTGAAAGCTACTTTCAGTCTGTCGATCGTTAGAAAGTTTGGTGGTGTCTGGCCTTCAAGGGTCTCTCGACTTTTTATCCCTTGTGAGGGCTGTTAATGCGAATTCCTGTGGGCGTTTAAGAACACACGGGAAGCGTTCGCCTGGGCTAATCATATCCAGTGGTGTAAGACAAGACTTCCCTTTCTCGCTTGTTTTTTTCGAATTTGTTACTCATGCGTTAATTGAAATTTGTCCGCCTGCCTCTGAAACCCTGGGGATTCGAAATGTCCATGGGACGTTCGCTCACAGATGATACCGCCGTCTTTGGTGCACATGCTTCAAAGATGCAACCCATTCTAACTTACCCAAATAATTCAGCCGCACGGTTGTGTATCCGCTTCACCTTTGAAAATGGAAAGTCCGACGTGGCCTGAAAGTAACTTTGTTTATGTATGCAGTGGTCGCATATGAACCAAGTTACCGCCAAGGCTCCCAAATTTAGGCAAAAGGATTTAGTTCTTGAGCCAAGGCTTTTGGTCCAAGTTTTCTCCGCAGGCTTTCAGTGGTTAGCGTGAGATCACCAGAGTAGTCTGACTTTTGAGGAGCGAGAAGTCACGTGTTCCGACCTCAAATTTGGATTGTCAGGAGATTGTTTGCCAGATCGCTATCCATTTCTCAAACTGACAGGGGGAACAATGTATGTTCACCGACTTTCTGAAGATCCTACTCTTTGTGGTGGTCTTGATACCTTTAAAAAGTGCAGATAGATGGAACAAAAAATTTATAGTGAGATGGGTCGGAAGGAAGTAATCAAAACATTTTCTAGAACAGATTTATTATTTCTGCGTGAACTATAATTCAAAATTGCACCTTGTGTGTCTTGAGGGCGTTGTCTAATTCCTTTATTGGATACTTTGAATAAGCAAACGGCTGGATATTGGTCGAAGCTTCCGTAGGACCGTGCAACCGATCTCACTGTGCATAATAGTGATTGGTGTTTTGTGTGCATTGTTTGGCGAGCATCACATGTAGGTTTTCATTGGATGTGTACTGGTGTTATGTGATGTGATCACAGTGGTTGTGCAATGAGCATCCGTTTGGATCAGGTGACGTCTTGTGGATCACGTCTGAGTGAAGTGAAATTATCTGTCTGCCCCACACTAGCAATCGTATTCTGTAGGCTCCTGACCGAGACCGCACCACATTTCACCAAGATTGGCGTTTGCCTTCGTAGTCTAACAGTGGTTCCGACCCAGTCGAAACTAAAAAAAAGTCTACAAGTGACATACCATACTCAGTTTTCGTATTAGCAGCACTGAAGCCATTGCTTTCCAATGGCTTCGAATTCAGCAAACGGTCAAGATTTTCTTTGTTTGCTGGTAATACTACAATAACGGTTGGTTTTGGTGCCCTCTGAAGCATTCCAATTCAATACAGCCGTGTGACCGATAAACTGTTTGTGCGGAGTAATCATCAAACGTCTTCGGCACTTGGTGTACATTATCTCAGTATATACTACTTTTACCTTTCCAGTTGCACAGCATCGAGTATGGCTGCCTAACTAAACGGTCCTTGAGACGAATCTCTTTAGCTTGTAGAGATTTGGGGACTGGGGTCTCGGATAGATGTGTTATGGAAAAACTATCAGATAGTCAGTGGTGATTCTATTACTCTGGACCTCTCGATTCTTTCGAGCGTTGTGAGACGTGCATGGGGGGCACCAGAGCCAGTGTAACGAAATGGGTGTTTACGCGGCAGCAAATATAATCCGATTTATTTAGGTGTTACTGGCTGACCGAATGAGATTTTCCAGTTTTTGTCGTAAATTAAACGCTAGTATACAGAAATAGGCGCTTCCTGATCAAGGATGATCGTCATTCTGTCGCCTTTCGAGGCTAGCCAACCACCAGAGTTCAGTCTTTAATTTTTTCGAATGTTGTTTTCTCAAATCTATTTCGTAGTGTATGCAATGAGCACAAATTCTGCTGCAGTGACTCCTCAGAAGAGCCTTTCCACAGTAATATCCCCCGTCAGCCACAAATTAGTAGTCACTTATCTCCAGAAGAGATCGAATAACCGCTTTTTTGTCGTTGTTATAGGAGTGCTACAGGTCTTTCAACTTCATACCTTAGGTCGCTTGCGTTTCTGGAGACACTTATCTCTCCACGAATTGCCACCCAACATCGTGCATTAGAGGGGGCCTGTTTATAGCTGCTCAGCGGTTAACCATTTTGTTTGATACTTGGGATCATCATCATCGACAGCATGACATCAGCGTTCAACACCGATGCTTCGTTATCGCCTGGTACACATGCGCCGAATGTCACCAGGAAATGACAGAAATGCTATCAAGCACGTACGAGCTGTGAACACGAATCGTGTGCTTCCCACAATTCCCATTCTCTCATACTCGTTTCACTAGCCCACCGTTACTTTCGATTACTTGTCCGTACTCTTCTCCCGTGCCCGTTTAACTCACGCGGGGGGGCGCCGTAAATTTTTGTGTCATGGCATGACGAGGCTTACAGGTTATTCCGCATACTCAACCCAAGTTTAACACCTAACACGGTTTATAACCTTTCAACAATTTCTTGGTACTTACCTGCTTAATTACCGTTATACTTCTACGGTCACCTTCGAGTTCATTAGAGAAACAAGATCGAGTGAGCAACAGAGACACCCTCTACGCAAATCCAAACTTTCGCGGGTTATTCGAATTCCTGTCAAGTTCGCGAACCAAAATCATCTCTTTTTCACAGCCCCTGTCTTTCTTTCCGCGCCTATTTCGTTCACAGTGGCATATTATTATTATTCAGTTACTGCTTGGCTTCTCGGAAGATGGGTAGATATCACAACACCTTCTCAATCGAAAAAAAAGAACTGATCGTGACGTGTGCTGTTGATGTGTCTCTTAAATCTCTTTGTCCTTAAAGAAATTGAATTGTTTTTGTATGAACTGTTGTTTGGAAGTTGGACACCTCAGGATTAAGCAATTTTTGTTCGTTCGAAGCGTAGTGGGACCGGCTTCCCAACAGAGCTCCATGGGACTTAGGAGAAGTTACTCTGAAACACTCGTTTATTTAGTCTCACGGTTGCTACAAAACAGTCGCGCGTACCTATCATCGAGAAGTCTTATTGGAATGGTAATACCAACTCTTGGACCCTTCATGTGTGCTGTTTTTACATAAATCTTGGATTTCTTCTGAATTTTTCCCATGCATCTGGAACGCTTTTGCTTGTTTCCACTCTTCCTTCCAGGAACATTATTTTCTGTTACCTCCAGCAAAACACAGCAAATCATCGGGTTCCGGACTACCTAAGGGTCCGTTGTCCGGGCGTGGACCTTACTCAGGTCCGCTTGGATTAATTCGTGCTCTCTTACGCCTGCATCGGACAGCGTCTTCAATGAATGTATCTTGTTCCAGCAGTACTGATTCTGCTTGTGCTGCTGACGTACCCGGTTCCTCAGACTCTACTCGATCAGGTGCTACTGATTGGATCAATGACAGCACAGTGACACCCTCAACTCGGTCCAATCCTGCCAACCGTCCACAAACTCATTCTCTGAAGACCTCCATCAACAACTTATGGAACTTGGTCTTGTTCGGTTGCTTGGTCCCCGAACTGACTGAACAACAGCAACAATCGCAAGATGTTGCGGGTCCTACTGCTTTTGGTGGGTTCGTATAAGATGTTTTCTGCTTTGTATTCGATTTTCGCACTTTTTTTGCGTTTTGCCAAACCGGTCTAGCTGATTGGCAAACACCGGTGCATCGGAGGATTCTTATTGCTTTAATGTCCCACTTTAGCATCTCTTGCTGCATCGTTATGTTTAATGACTAATTCGAAATATACTCTTTCGTCTAGATTTTCGTACGTGGGTTTGGTAGAAATGAGTGCGCCAGTCTTATTTCCATGCCATAGGGATTGGTACTGAACCTAAAAAAATTACGGAGTTGCTTTTTAAGAAAATGTGAACAACCAGGTATGCTGTTGACTGATGTTACTCTCCGGAGGAAAACGTCTGTCTAATAACAATCTTGACAAATGTATTCTGTACCGTATTGCCGTTACATACTTCCGAAATTTCAAGATCTATAACTCCAGTTGATTACGGTAAGATGCCATCTCGTTCAACATTTTCACCGCCATGCTATACTTTTCATGAAGAATTATGCATCAACGGTTTTTTGTGTAGGGCATAAAGAATAGATGCTTAAAAGTCCTCCCCACAAATACAAGATTCCGTGCGACAACTGATCGGACCTCCCGATCAGTTTCACTCCATCACGGCTAGTCAATACCCCCCCCCCCCCGCACTGTAATTCTTTTCAAGGGCACGGCTAACTTGACGATCGGTCAAGTGTTCTTGAGAACCTTTCGTCTGCCAGTAGCTCCCCATCCTTGGTTACGTTAAGCTTGCATTGTTTCTAAAATTATATTGCTAATGATAGATTCTACCGGAACAGGCATTGTCGTTAGTCTTTGGATTTAACTCTACCGGAACATCACCCATGTGTGTTATATTTTGGCTTCCAAACAGATGGCAAAATGGAGCGATCTCAGATTCGAATACCTATCCTTATTCTGATTGCACGAATGCTAGCCTCTTCTGCTCGGTCGGCGAAACCCACGTCAGATAGCAAGTGGAAAGGAGCTGATTTGTCCTCCCGCGCTAACATGAACTTAAATCTGCTGAATCATCTACTTGTCTGCATCGCACACATCACTCATGCTATATGCCCGTCATTTCGTTTGCCACAACCACCTCTCCCTGTGGATGTGGTTGCAACTTATAAGTCAGTTACGGAGTCTCGGGTGACGGCAAATGAGACGAAATCAGAAAATCACAAGCCGGTGGAGGCTGGACGAAAGCGTTCCCGGTGGGACGCTTCACTACAGACTCCGTCAGAACCGGACAAACCTGCGGTTCCTGTGAATTCATCAACCGCCACTTCACTTTTGTTTAGCAGCATATGGCCCAGTGACTCACCAGCTACCGCGCAAGTAAGCTTATTCTCTTTTTTGGATAACGCACGTGAGTCTTACTTTCAACGGACCCTCGGAGGCTGTGAGACTGTTTTATACAATGTAAGGATATTTGCTATATAAAAAAACGGGTTATAAACGTGTTTAGTGTTCATAATCCGCTTGCTGGGTTGCATGCCGATACAGTAATCGCCACCGTTTTGGGGGCTAGGCTACAGCAACATTCTCCGTCAGCCAAGGTTTATTTGAAGCCCTAACTCTTTTCCTCGAAGATAAAAGACAGTCAGGAAGCTGAAAACTCTCTTGCCAGTGTTTCGGGCAACATCTGGCGTGGTGTTCAATCGAGGCGTACCCACTAGAAAATTTCGACTTCTTATGTCAGGTTATAGCAGCACAAATCCATGTCGCCCCGATCACGCGTGATCTACTTCCATCCAGGGCCAGTGTGTTATTGAAATTCAGTGGTACTGCTTCGGATGTTTTTTAGTGAATGTCTTTCGCTTGAACATACGGTAGACATGTCGCTGATCTATCTTAATGGTAGATGTCAAGTACGTCAATCACTAACTACGCTAGGGTATGATGTACACGACATCGTGAATTGGCAGTAAGAAGCTGAATAATATAAAAGCACGATGCATCTAAGATAGCCTGCTCATGTGCTTGTCATCATAGGTCTTGAAGAGTTGGAAGTTACATAAAGGGAACAGAAAGTGGTCGAGAGCCTCGAAGTCTTAAAGTTACAAGGGAGAAGGAGGAAGCAAGTGGATCCTTTGGACCTTTTCGGAACCTGAGTCTAGTTTAACGTCCCAATGGTTAGCGTTCACCTATTACCCGGACGTTCAGCGTCTGTCTACGTCTTCAAACGATTTTTCACTACTACGCAATACGTTACACGCAGTTCGACCCAACTGAGATTTCCTCATTAAGTGGCCTCTAATCTCAGAGCGCACTCTCATTAGCTGCCAGTTTGTTATATCGATTTGGTTCGCAATCCAGCGATTCTGCCAATCCGAATTTCAGTTACCAAATGATGCGGTTCACGGAGTGCTATACGAGCTGCTCTCCTGTGCATTGGCTTGCTGGCCAACCAGGATGGATTGGTTGCATCTCCGGGCCGAGCTGGAATTCGTCAGAAAACAATACCGCGCCGCAATTTCATCATACTTAGAGATATGTGCCATCAGCACCGAGTCTTTCACACGTCCTCTTCCTGGCTTTGTTAAAAATGAAGAGGTAAGATTCTTTTTGGTTTTGTTTGATGTCGAGCAGCGGTAAATGTGAGTGTTGGGCGAGAAGAGTGAGGATTGGGAGGAGGCTTACATCGATCTACTGTTCTGTCATTATCTCGCCGTACTGTACTCCATCCACTGAAACCAAAATAGTTAATCTGTCACGTTTATTTAATGTTTCTTGTATCTGAATGCAGAAGATTCTGGTGAAATTATGGAATGGATTTATGGCTGATTTCTTTTGAACGAATAAGTGATATGACTGGGTTAAGTGAACTATGTAGTCAGTGGACTCCCTATGTTAAAGTGTATGCAGGTCGAGTACAATACCAGAACCATGTCGATCGAGTCGTCAGCATCAAGGTTAACACGCCTCACTGGCACACTGTCACAAGAAACGTATTTTTAATAGCCTGAAAGGACAAAAGGCAAGGAACATACCTGGTTCGCCCTCTACAGGAAGCCTGAGGCAGCCGTACCTTGAGATGGCTCAGTGGTTAGAGCGCCAATTTACTGACCGGAAGGTCCGTGGTTCGAACACGACCTCTGCCTCTCGACTTCTCCTGTCTAGGTTTGGGCAACCTGACAGTATCCCAGCCGTCGTGCGTCCCTGCGGTGAAATGCAAGCTAGGCACCGAAAGGGTTCTATGGCTGAACGATGTTTATGTGTTGTACCTCCAAATATCCACTCAGATTGTCCGGATAGAAGCAACCAACGCGATCGTCATTAAAATCGGTCGGAAGTCGTGTATTTCAGTGTCCCTACTATCCACAGCTATTAGGCGTCACAGGGGATTCCATTCAGGGTGACAGACCGCACCAGCAGTACGGGAACTTCTTAGGTATACCCATCAGGCAAGTCACATTATGGTGTGCACCATTTCGCAGGTAAGGACTGTATCTTTTTTGCAGCACGAACTTTATGCAACCAAAGACCCGTTTCCAAATCACCTTATACCAGCCTACAGTTCTATAAATTAACTCGAAAACCTTCTGTTGTGGTCGCCAATTGTGTATCAACCAGTTTTGTCAGTCACACCGGAATCGAGAAGACAATGACCTTGAGTAAGTTGTACGGGAAGCAACTGAACCCTTTCGTGATACAGACTCAAAGGAACCATAATGAAAAGGAGCGGACAGTCCAACAGGATATCAATGAAGGGCTAAAATGAAGAAAACAAGGTTTCAATCTACAAGATAAATTGTTAGCAAGAGGGATTCTTTCGTTTGGATCTTCCAGACCTTCCAGATCTGCCCACAACCACACCCGCATTAAATTGTTAAGGGATTCTTTCGTTTGGATCTTCCAGACCTTCCAGATCTGCCCACAACCACACCCGCATCCGTGAGCGTACCCAGTAACCCAACCCACTTGAATACTTACCGATAACACAACAGCCGGATGTGATGAAGTGCATAAGTCTAGGTACTTCCGCGGTCAGTATAACTCCTTCTATCTGTCTTGATCCCTATTAGAAGTTGGCTTTTTAAATGTTCCTTACCTCATTATTCCTTTTCTGCAGACCTGCATCGCGCAATTTCCATGTCGTTTACATCAGTACTTGATCTGCTGGATTGTGTAGTATCTGGGTAGACCGACAACCATAGAATATGCGCACCAAGCTCTCCTAGTACATTAAAATTTTCCGGATGTGGATCTTACTTTCATGCTGTCATGATTTGGTATTCAAACACGAAATCCTCGTACGTTCGTCTGATTGTTTTTCCTGAGAATAAAATCGTATGCCCCAGTGTCACACCCATTCTCACGGACAACCTGAAGAACTCTGTCATCGTCGGGATAGCTTTCTCTTGCCTTGTTTTACAGACGTTGCCATGGGAGACGTTTGCTGAAGTTAGCGTCTTCCGTCTCTCTACCGTAGATTCCACCAATTGTGTTTCAGCCATCCTCCCTCCACTGCAAAACCGGGCTGCTGGCCTCTTTCTTCACAAAACAGTCCGCCTCGAAAAGTCACTCATCGTATTTTGAGGATAGGCTGGCTTCTCAGGTGTCTAGGGTTGCAGCTGCGTAATCGTATCGGTCGATGACGAGGCTCTCTCGGATATCGACCTAATGTTCAGCAACTTGGGACATATACTGCAGACTCGGTCATTGAGCATCGGTCTTCATAACAACTATTCAGATTTTTGGCTGACACTGATAATAACGCGAACCTTACCACGGTTTTGGAACAACGGTTCAGGTTACTTCTGTATCGGGGCGATAGGTTTGCTTCCCACGCTGTGGAAACCTCTAGCTCCTCAACTGCAGCTTAACCCGCCATAGAATTTGTGGTTTTTTCAGCATTCTGCTCTTTTCCGGAAGATATCTTATCAGTAGCATTTGTTTACTAGTCCCCCTATTACAACCTTAAGCAAACTGTTTAGAACAAGCTAGAGTTTGGGGATACTGTTGACTGAGTTGTAACAAACAGATGCTAAAATGAAGTGATCCAATTTTGTTCATCCTCCTAAAATAGTACGGACTCTACAAGGTTGTGAGCTGTTCTTGCTTCCATTATGTGTCTTTGTTGCACTGAGAGTGTGCTCTAACATTCTTTCGAACCATGAGGTCAGTGTTCCGAGTCAACTGTTGGGCGTCTTTTCGCTCGTACTACTTGTACACTTCAACGCCAAATCAGTCTAAATGTAAATCACCATCTCTTATCTACGCATTGTAGTTTATTTTTCGAATGGTTCACTCGTGCCTTGCAATCGGTCTCCTTGGAGAAAGTGTCGTATTATGTCAGCTTTGTCCAGACAATCGCATGATAGAATTCGGACTACAGTTGATCGCAGGTATGGTGGATATACCTGCATCGGACCCCGTGAGCAATGCGAACAACGACGGAAATGATGCACCGGCTTCTCACCTTCATCCACATCAGCAGCTGTACCAGAAGCATCGGGCTCGCGGTGCCTGCGGTGGTTTGCTCAATCCCACACCGCTTGATTGTTTGGACAGCTATGCGGACTACATTTGGGATGTCCGTCTCTTGGAAACCTTATCTACAAGCGCACTTGGGCAGGGGGCGTTGGACCTACATGCCAAGTTCAATGGTGAGTGAATGGTGTCCTAATTTTCCACGTTCCATTTCATTCGTACCCTACACCGTATCCTCGGGTTTTACAAAACGGCACACATCCACATCCGCAAAAAACATCTGAGAATGACAATTTAACAGGAGTCCATGAAATACATACATAATATGGCGACTTTTTAACGTTTGTGTACTTTAGATGAAATTTTATCCATGTGAGAGCATTACTCGTTGCACAGGTTTTCTCCATCACAATTCCTCCTCAAGGATACTTCCATAACCAAACAACAAGACTTATCCGGAAAGGCGGTGACCTTATCTCTTTCTAATGATAGCACGGCTTATTAATAGGTATTATCATATGCCCGTATTTAACTATCGTACAGCACAGTACTACTGGTGTTCGATACACGTGACGGGGTCGAACAATAGTCTACCGTTATTTATTTACAAGTAACGTTGTACTCTCGAGAGACCTGTCGGTCGGTTTTGTGTTACTGTTTCCAAACGAATACGCCGGATGGTAGGCTTAGCAACTGACTGAACACCAAAAATGTTCGCGAATGCTGCATTGGTCAGCTGAAATGCTTCGGCTATCCAATAATTGAGCACAGAACTTCAGACAGAAACTTCACGTTACTCGCATTCGCGTCGCCTACTGTTGGTCACATTATTTCTTGTGTAGGCTGAAAATTAGCATTAGAATTCTCTGGTCATACTACCATCAGCAAGGATTACCTCTGTACAGAAACCGTTTTGGTTGTCAACGTTTGCAATCCACACAAAGAAGACAGCCTTCCACAGGAGATCAGTTTCGTCGGTCTATTCAAGGAATATCTTAAAAAGAGATTTCAGTTAAGAGGGACCAAACTAACAACATGTACTTGTGCAGGATTCGAGATTCAAGTGGATTCCGTTAATGTATCATGAACTTTTTACATGGACGGTAAACTGGCCATAGTGGGCGGGCTCATATTTTTTAGAGCCGAGTCATTTGAAAGGCAGTTTTGGATACCTGCGTTGCTTTTTTGTTGTACTTCCGCTAAGTACGCATGTGATTTGTGTTTGATAAACCGCATACAACTGTGGCATAATTTTAAAAGCTGGCAACCGGCGTATTGGACTGTTCGATCCTTATTCAGCTGAAACTATGACTGAATTTCTCACGCAGAAAGTTCTGAGGAAACGACTTGAATGACTTACATTCTATGGTCCCTAATTCGACACGCTTCCGGTACTATCTAGGTCAAACCGAAAGTGACGTGTTTTACCCATATTACATGACTTAACCGTACTGCCTTAGCCCAGTTAGCCGTTTTATCCCTTAAGTCGGCATTTTTGGCACAACAGCCACCAAATATACACTGTTCAACAGGCATCCAAACGTGTCAGGGATTCTACAGCTCCTCGTACATAAAGCGACAATATCCTAGAGATTCGAATCTCCAGTTAACTCCTCCGGAGTATTCAAAAGTTTCTTGCGTTCTTTGCGCTGGCTGAACGAAGAAAACACTCTAGTAATTTGACCTTCGTTCGTTTGGCTATCGGTTTTATGGCTGCCAAATAGGGAACCTACCGATTTTCTTTCGCAGCCAATGGGCTCTTTAGGTGTTTCTCCTGAATAACAACTATCTCCGTCAGTTGCACGTGTATATATCCTGCAAGGGTTTTAGTAGGTTGTGGTCACATCATTGGTTGAACGAAAATGTTGTTGGTTCGGAGAGTTCATACCATATAGCCCCGGAAGTTGTCTGTAGAATGAAATCATGCAACTGCGACTGAAAGCCCCCTTACCTATTCAAGCATTTTTAAATGTTTCAATCGAGCCTGAAGTAGCTCAATTGTTATGGCGCTGATCAGAAGATCCGTGGTTTATCACCATGTCGCACGACTGCTGCTGTCTAGGCTTGAACAAGGTGGTACTCAGCCCTCGTGTTCTCTTTAAGTGGCATGGCAGCTGTGCACCGAAATCATGGTGCAGCTATTTTTTTAACTTATCAGTTACTCAAGTGTTATTGCACTTATTTAAGAAAGGAACACCGAATACCGATGTTCAAACGCGTTGCAGAAGTAGGAGTTCTCTGGTTCCACCACACAGCCCTAACTCCGCTCAAATTACCATCCTTGGCTTTCAGATATTGTCGATGCTTTCTGACCTAACAGGTTGTCAACCATTTCGGTCATCCCAGTTAGTTTTCGTTCTCCCTCAAAGTAACGTATTACTAGACTGTATCTACTAGTTACTATCAGTATCTTTCCAGCATCACTCACTACCTTTGTTTTTGTCCATAGCTTTTCTCTCGGTCCCGGAGCTCAACTGTAACAACCCGCCCCATGTACTCTCCGAAACCGCGGATGCACGAGCTTTGGAATTTCTTGCAATGATGGCAGACAAGCATATGACCTGAGGTTTTGTTAGTTTTGTACAGGTAATTTTCACACTTACTGTATATAGCAGAATGCGTGCCACTGTATTCCCTTGTTTATACCATTGCTTTACGTGTGGGTGTGAAAAGCCACCAACCCAGCTTAGATACCGCGTGGATCAGTGTTACTAAGCTCTCCCACACCTTCATAAATTCTGTAGAGCTATTTTCTGGAAAAAACGCACATGGACCGTTAAAGAACTGGTTTTCGCATAAGGTCGGTTACCGATCAATAGTTGCCACCTTGACGCGAAGAGTTCAGTACGGCTCGGAAACCACCCGCTGTATCCCGTGGCACTGGTAGTTAGGTACTTGCTGCCCTAGATCAATTTCCAACAACCAAGGAGTGGGACTACCGGGTCATTCACTCTTGGCCTGCTGCTTCCATGTGGTGTTAAATGTGAGGGTTGAAACGGTCCTCGGGAACACAGGCGAGAACCTCGTTTCTAATAGCGTAACAATAGCGGATAGGAGCAGTAAGCTCCTGTACTACGAGCTCTCGTAAGACGCTAGGATCCGGGTTCAAGCTAGTGAGAGTTCCTCCATTCGATTAGCATTTCCTTATTAATGAAAGCGGCTATGTTGCCTCACGCTAGGAGGGATAGATTAAACAGGCTCGCCCAAGATTGAATGTGGCCACACGGTATTCACTGCGGTCAAAATACCTTCAAACGCGAAGAGTTCAGTACTGCTCGGAGACCACCCGCTGTATCCCGTGGCACTGGGAGTTAGGTACTCGCTGCCCTAGACCGATTTCCAACAACCGAGGACTGAGACTACCGAGTCATTCACTCTTGGCCTGCTGCTTCCATGGTCAAACCATTGAATCGGGTACTGTGCACAAGTCCCTGAAGTAAAACCCTACTTCCCACTACTTTTTGAGCCAAAGGCTCAAGGTGAAATACCTCAACCAAAACTCCTTAAATGGACGATCCGCGAATCGGAGTCTAACTGAATATGAAGGTTTTTGTGCACTTTGGTAATGCCAGACCACCTGGAATATCCCTCCCAAGGATCGTGTGACAGTAGTGTGCGGCTGTCACGTGTTTGTTAAATGCAAATGGACAATCCGCGAATCGGAGTCTAACTGAATCTGAAGGTTTTTGTGCACTTTGGTAATGGCAGACCACCTAGAATATCCCTCCCAAGGACCGTGTGACAGCAGTGTGCGGCTGTCACGTGTTTGTTAAATGCGACTTCCCCACCAAGGAATAGGACAAAATTGGGTATCCTGGATAGATTCAGTATGAAAGTGCATGCTACCTGACTTGGCACGATCGCGGCAGCCCATCAGTTGACAGGTTTTTCAACTACCCAACATTGTTCAAACTCATCGGAAGAACCTGCTGCCAACCTATACGTGAATGGCAGTTTCGGTCGAACTGTATACAATTTTTGGAGAATAACATTGGTAAATTAGGTTATTTCAGGATCAGAAGCCCTCATTCACGTGGACTCCAGCTGCTTGGGGATCATTGCTTCATCCTCCCACTCAGACAGCGCTTTTACACCGGATCTTTGTTGTCCAGGTTTTTTGAGGCAGTACGGAATTAGTACACATGTATCCCACTCACGCTACAGCAAGGATGTCATTGCGAAATCCACACACCCATAGCTGATCGGTAGCTCGGTAAGACTGTGCCAGCAGCTCGTTGTCGGTTGTTGTTAACTTATTGCGGACGGCACAAAAAATCTATCTGATTACCTAATAAATATGTGAGTGTGAACACAGTGGCGTAGAACGGTTACTACGTATCCATTGCTGTATAATCCGCACCTTGTAGTCGATTTTCTGGTGTTATCACGACTTCCACCTAGAAGAGCGCGAAAACAGTTCAAAGTCTCCCTACTGATCTCCCCGTTCAAATCAGTTTCCGGTCGGGGAAGAATTTCTTCTCACAGTGAAAATCCACTTTTTCACAAGACGGTGTAGGATACAAAACAGACCCCGCGGCTAAATTCTGTGCAACTCATTATCCACCAAAGCTCGCTTCTATTACATGGAAATGAGTGAATTTCGGACAGCTAAAGATAACTCTTATCATACATCATGCCCATGATCTACAACGTGACATTGATCAAAGGTCAAAACCAAAGAACGAAAGTTCTCACATTTGGAAACCCTATTGATGTCGGTCTCTCGCAGATTGGTACTACACCGACTCTGCCGTAGGCGGTGCCGTGAAAAGAAATCCAGAAACCTATCTGCATATACAAAAATATAAACATATAAATCGTTCAGCCGCAACACTTTCGATGCCTAGCTGCCATGCTACCCGTAGGAAGCACGAGGGCTGGGGTACTGCCAAGCCTAGATAGGGGAAGTTGAGACGCATAGGTCGGGTTCGAACCATTGACCTACCGGCCAACAGCTTCACGATGACGCTATTCCGGGTCAAAAAAAACTTTTCTAGGCATCAGTTATGAGATGTGTTGCTCAGTATTCGCACAATTGAACTAAATTTTTGGAAGCTACGACGTGTCTCCGTTGGACTAAAAGAGACGGGCAATTGAGTTCAGAGCATGAGTCCAATCTTTCGAGCCCTATCTAGATATCCGGGGTGTCAGCGATGCTAGGAAAGCATTCCACCAGACTTTCTCCGCCAGTGAAGAATGAAATTCGGTGAGCTGCAAAAATATGAACTTAGACTAGGGTGGTTTTTGGTTTGAGCACACGCAACAAAATGCAATAGTTTGGCGTAAAAAGTTTTATTCCACTCGCAGAAGTTTTGCAGCTAAGAGCATTGTGCGGCTAATGGGCCCTATAAAACATAGAGCATCCCAACGAAATTTTTCACTTCACCCCAGACCAAAACAAAGCCGTCTCCATGTGAAATAAGCACGTCTCTACGCCAAATTCGTGCAGCTTTACAGCCCCAGCGCGTAAAACCTCGCGCGTTCCCTGTGGGCATCTTTCGAGTTTAACTCTGCGCAACCGGTTTTATCCACACATCTAATGGGTTCACACGTAAATTCGCACCTACACTTTACGATAAAAGTCTACACTGCCCAGTCTGCCAATCAGACTTATTGGTACTTGTCACTTCCACCGTGCAATCTCCTGGGCCGAAAGTCACTATTCCAAATGGTGGGACAGTCTAGGGTTAAAATACGGGCAATCAGGTGACTGATTACGTATAACTAAAACGGCGATATGTATTCTGTCACAGAAGCCTTTATTATAATATTACAATAAAATACAATGTCAAGTGTCCAAACTATATGAACTAAGCATACGCCTTTCAATAAATCCACGGCACTTGCTAGTCCCCTTCAGTGTGTACTACACTTGGCCAACGGTATAAATTTCACCGGTGATATGCAGATTGCTGCAGCGATTATTGGTCACAACGAATCAAGCCTAACCATACATTCGGTCACAAAACGGA